CATAGTCTCCGAATTTCTCCAAACTCTCTATGATAAAAGTCTTTGATACTGTAAACTCAAATCAGGCAGAAAATGGTTGCTACGTGTCATGGTTACCATGGCAACATGTCCTAAAGTTTGAAAAATGGCATTTTTCAACATGTTCAGAGTCCCACATTTAACGTTTGCAGCAACGCAAACAAGTGGCAATGATTGTTTCTGAAAGTTGAAGGCCTGGTGTCTTAAATGCGCGATAAACATGTTTGGTAAATCAACTATTACATTCGTTACTATGGAAACAAAGTATTCAAAAGTAATAATTTTGCCCGTTTAATTTTATAAAATCATACATTTAAGAATAAAAAAAATTATAGGTTGAAATGCAAGCAAATAATAGACAAAAGATCCTTGTAACATATACCAAGGAAGAAATATGATATTTCTTATAGGATGGCAATGGTTGCCATGGTTTTAATACCAAGAAGGGATTTTAAATTTACTCTCTTAGTGTTTAAATCTTATCCTATCTTTTTAAAAAGCATATTTTTATATAGGGTGAGTTAACCATGCATCGGACACATACCTTGCTTCGGACAACTTCAAGCAATAAACTTTCATTGAACCTGAGTCTCCCCGTGTTTTTACTTGTTTCTGTCTTAAAGATGAAGAATTAAACTTTTTAATGATGTCGATTTTTATTTTCATGTTGTGATAAAAATACCACAAGAATGGCCTTGAAATTACGTCATATTTTGCATCATCAAAGGGGAGTAACCAGAATTTTAAGATTTTGCAATTTTTAGAGTTGTCGTTCTTTTAAATAGACGTCAACGGAACGGGTGGGACCTTGGTCAAATTTGCCAGTGATTGATAATATTACAGAAATTTTTCAAAAAATTTTACTTCAATGTTTGTATAATATATTTTAGAGTTTTTTTTAACTAGTATGTTTATTTCACCGTACATCGGACACAAATTAACCATGCATCGGACACTTTTCGATGCAAGGGTAATCACTTCCATTTTCATGTTAAACCCAAATGACAGCTGTTTTTTACGGAAATAGAAAATAGAAACTCTAAATTTTCAGTGAAAATACAAATTATCGATATATGACGACTAGAAGTGGACTCAATTTATTTGTTTAAACTAGATAATTATAACCCACGAGACAAAGGCGCGAGTTGCCATATTACTAGCATTGTAAACCCTTTCTAAGGCGATGTGATGCAACTAAAATCTCTTCATATTTGAGGATCGAAATAGTCATTCAAATTTAATTAGACGGTTAATTTTTAAATAAAAGATAAAAATGTTTGGATATCACTGATTTCAAAGCACCAAGATCAAGGTATGATATTTTTCTGGTTTAAATATCGTATGTCCGATGCATGGTGAATGTTGTCCGATCCATGGTAAATTCTGACTTATTTCGAAAAAATCGGTTTTTAATGATATTATCTCAATAAATAGGGCGCGATTGTGTCAAAAATTTATATTTTAACCACATACTACATGTTAAGTTCCATTTTGATAATATTCGGTCGGTAGCGATATCACTAGAACTTGTTGAGGTGCAAGGGTGTCCGATGCATGGTGAATTCACCCTAACTGATGATCAATTTTTAAAGACATTCATGTGACCCTAATTTTCACATTTCAAAAAATTCAAATTCAATTCTTTAAATAGTGCGTTGCTATGGAAATAAGCCGAAAAAATATGCATAAAAATCTGAAAAATATTTTGTTCCCTTGGATACGTACCCTTATATGTAGATTCCCAAAACTTTTATGATTGATAATTATGAACAACTAACCTGACTTTCAATTTTGACTGCCACCCAATCTCTAACTGGATGCAAAAAGCTGGCACATAGGGTTTCATATTGATATAAAATTAACAAAATCGAACATTTTCCCTTCTCGGTTACCATAGCAACAGTGTTGTATTTTTCAACAAACGTTATCAATATATGATATTCAACTTTAGTTTTTCCAGATAAGTACTATTCAAGGTGAGTCAAATAATATGTTTCTTGAATAAAAAGTAAGTAAATTCCTAAGGCAGCAAAAAAATATCACTTTAAACAACTGGTACATTGTTTCCATGGTTACACTGCAGAGTAACAATTAATCCCAATTTTTCTTATGTTGCAGGTGTTGCAAGGTCCTAAGGATGTACATGTGCCAGTCATGAATTTTATTGTTTTTCCTGAAGATAGTAGCATTAACCCAATCTTAGCAACATATTTTGCATGGTTACACTGTGTTACCATGGCAACCATGAAAGTTATTTTTAGAATAATATTGCCAATACCTAATTACTTAAGGTCAAATATTTTTATTGTTTTTTCTTAGGTTGTTGATTGAGTTTGATCATTTAACACCTATTATTAGTGAATATTGAGCGTTTTTCTGCATTTTTCAGCATCTAAAATGTATTCCAAATGTACCCATGGTTACAACTTACCTAGAGATAAATTCTAAATAGTTTCTTTACAGCATAAGTGGCAACAAGGTGTCGGGTTTTTGTGAGAATGGTTTGTTTGTTTTTCTTAGTCTTTATTAAGGCTTAATAAAGATTCAAAGTAGCTGAAAATCTCAATTTTTCCAATTTTTCTGGCTGTTACCATGGCAACCAAGACGCATAGCAACAAAATTTTATTTGATATATGTTTCTGGTGTCAAGTTGTAATAATGGGCAAAGTTTCATCAAAATCGGTGACCATGCGTGGCATAGAAGTTTAAGTGGTTACAGAGAATCGCTATTAATTCATATATAAATGAATATTTTTACAGACCGCACAAACTTTAATGTAATATGTTTCATTCTATACTGTATACAGCTGAAGATATTTTTTGCTTGTTTGTAGTTTGTAGTACTGTTATCGCGGTTATCTTTCTACGTCGAATCCTATTGTGACGTCAGCAAACCTGTGATCTACCTTAAAAAATGAAACCCTTGTTCCTCACTAAGCATGCAATAATATAACACTGGCTGACTTTCTAAGCATTTTAAAAAGCTTACCTTGTGACGTGCACTATTTTGCAATATCGAAAGAAAAGGGAGAAAACCGACTGAATCAAGTAGGGATGTCCCATTTACCAGGTGAAGGGAGTTTGTGAGCTCTACCTATCAGAGACCAGAAGAGATTTTTCGGTAGTTAGGTGTCCGTTGTTCGTCCGTTTAGCTGTCTGTCTGTCTGTTTTTCTCTCCGTCTGTAAATAATTTTCAAAAACGCTACTCCTCCTACAGTTTTGGTCTGATTTTAATATAACTTGGCACACAGGCCTATAGGCTACACTAAGATACATATTTCTGTATATCAGTTTCTGATTTCAGTGAACGGTGTTGCCATGATCACTAAAATTAGAAATTTCTGTGAAATTCTTTCAAAACCCCACCCACGTACAGTTCTGATCTGATATAACTTGGCACACGAGTAGAATACTAAATTCTTTTCTAGTATATCAGTTTTTGATTTCGAGGAAGGGTGTTGCCATGGTTACTAGAAAATAGAACATTCCTTGAAATACTTTCAGACCTTTTCTACAGTTTTGGTTTTATTTCAATATAATTTGGCACACAAGTAAACTACACTGAGATACATAATTTAGGTCTTCCGTCTTCACGAAAGACCTTATAGTGATTCTACTCTTTCTTATTAAGGTCTTCTATCTTAACGGAAGACCTTATAGTGATTCTATTGTTTCTACTTCTTATTATTATTATTTTGACTTTCTAATTTTGTGCACGCAATTTCTCGAAGAAAATGAAACCCTTGTTCCTCACTAAGCATGCAATAATATAACACTGGCTGACTTTCTAAGCATTTTAAAAAGCTTACCTTGTGACGTGCACTATTTTGCAATATCGAAAGAAAAGGGAGAAAACCGACTGAATCAAGTAGGGATGTCCCATTTACCAGGTGAAGGGAGTTTGTGAGCTCTACCGATCAGAGACCAGAAGAGATTTTTCGGTAGTTAGGTGTCCGTTGTTCGTCCGTTTAGCTGTCTGTCTGTCTGTTTTTCTCTCCGTCTGTAAATAATTTTCAAAAACGCTACTCCTCCTACAGTTTTGGTCTGATTTTAATATAACTTGGCACACAGGCCTATAGGCTACACTAAGATACATATTTCTGTATATCAGTTTCTGATTTCAGTGAACGGTGTTGCCATGATCACTAAAATTAGAAATTTCTGTGAAATTCTTTCAAAACCCCACCCACGTACAGTTCTGATCTGATATAACTTGGCACACGAGTAGAATACTAAATTCTTTACTAGTATATCAGTTTTTGATTTCGAGGAAGGGTGTTGCCATGGTTACTAGAAAATAGAACATTCCTTGAAATACTTTCAGACCTTTTCTACAGTTTTGGTTTTATTTCAATATAATTTGGCACACAAGTAAACTACACTGAGATACATAATTTAGGTCTTCCGTCTTCACGAAAGACCTTATAGTGATTCTACTCTTTCTTATTAAGGTCTTCTATCTTAACGAAAGACCTTATAGTGATTCTATTGTTTCTACTTCTTATTATTATTATTTTGACTTTCTAATTTTGTGCACGCAATTTCTCGAAGACTATTGGACGGATTTACATGAAATTTTCAGGAAAGATGTGTCGTAACATGAATTTGATCTATCTGAGAGAAAAGTTGGAAATTCACTTCCGGTGCCAAGTTACGGACCATTTTCTGAATTTAAAATGACATTTTATCCGCAGATAATCTCAAGAACGATAAAAGATATCAATGTGAAACTTTCAGGGATTATAGATCGCGATAAATACTAGCCGGGAAGAGAACTTTCGTTCGTCGTCAGTACTTACGGTTGTTACCAGATGCAAATTTAAAAAGTTGAATTTTTAAACTTTTTTGATTTTCAAAATTTTTCTTTGATAGTAGTACTGTTAATAGAAGCAGTTCTGAAAATGCTTAATATATAATTTGTTTTCAAATAGATAAATTCGAACTCTAGATATTGGCATTTTAAAATTTGAAGCGGGTCCAAAATGGCAGCTGTCTCCGTACACTCCGACGAGCAGCTGGAGCTCCTCGGTAGGCTTACACCTTGCACACTAACCTCGGACGTCAACGGTGTTCTGCCATGTTGATGATACAAACATGTGATCTTATTTGAAATTCCTCCAAATGTTATACCTTTGAAATCTGAGTTACTTTGTGGTACGCCCAACACTATGTTTTTGCTTTCAAAGACTACTTACATGATGTTGTAATCAAAACAAATATAAAAGGAAGAATTAGACAAGAGAAAAAAACTTTTTGAAGAACTTTATGCAGAACGAAATATGAAATGAGTTATAAGGCAGTTTTTCAGCGGAGAAATGTAATCGATTTGATGCATATTCCTCCACCAAACACATCCGAGGTTTGTAATGGAGGTAGCGGAGTCAGCCGAAGATTGCCGACTAGCAGGTCGGAGTTTACGGAGACAGTCGAGCGTCTTATTGAAGGAAACTATCATAAGGATCAAAGAAATGTGAAGGAATTGTTGTCTTGCAGATTTTGGAAATGGATAATCTGTCTTTGAAAACATAAATACTCTGACTTCCAAGTACAATTAAATAAGTAATTTGTACGGTACATACAATGATATATATGAGAATTGAACCCATTCAATAGAACATACATTTCAAAGAAAAGGCCTAAATATTTACTCGTGACGTTTGATGCGAAATAATGTATCGTGAATCCCCTTTCAAAGTAGAAAAATGGTCTGATGCAGAAGTGCAGAAAAGGATTACGTGGACACGTCTGTATGAAATACATGTATATGGAATTGCATGGAATAAAAAGTTGAATACATAAAGAATAAAGGAAGTCAACAGTATCATCAGTTCATCAGTAATAGATTATTTCTTCTGCTAACAGTTATTGTTTAAACTCAAGTAACGAATTCCGGTGTGAATCTGCTTGCACAAAATTTGGCTAGCTAGGTCTCATTCTATGATTCCACACTATATATATAAAAAAAACTTTAACCTCCCTGACGCTCGTTACTTTATGCAATGATACAAAGTAAACATCGATGATGGCTGGTAAAATTGATTTGGTGAAGGTTTCCTTATTGAATTTTCACGCAGGCGATCTGGGTTCAATCCCGATTATGTGAATTTCCTTTCTCATTTTTTAGCTTAAATTTACGTTTTCATCTTTATAAATGATGTTTGGCGTTTTTTTTTTTTTCTGTGTGAATTCTGTGCTATTTTCATGTTTTTAAATAAATCTTTAAAATCCTTTCATTTTTGAAAGACCCACGATATATTTTTAGGCGTCTTTACTACGAGCATATATAATGTAATTTTACCTGCAAAGAACATCACATATAAGGATGGTTATTCGGACGGAAGACCTCTTGTTGCTCGCAACGAGTATCTAGTTATTATTCTTATTTTTCCTCCCGTATTTTGTGCTGGCGTTTTCTCAAAAATTATTCAGTGGTTTTCAGTGAAGTTTTTAGGGATAATGGAAAATTATATGAACTTTGTGCATCAGAGGTGAAAATTTAAAAATTACCTTTTGGTTCCATGTAATGGCCAATTTTCTGATTTTGAATTGGATTTTTGTCTTCGCATCTCCTCTAGAACGACTAAGGATATAAACTGGAGACATGTCAAAGATGATAGAGCATGACTTATAGTTGTTCTGGCCAATTTTTCGTGCGTCGTCAATGCTTTCGGTCACCAACGGAAGCGAATTTCAAAAATCAATTTTTTCAACTTTTTTGTTTTTCTATTTTTTCTTTGATATCAGTAGGGTTAATAGAGAAACTTCTGAAAATGCTTAATATATAATTTGTTTCGAAATTGATATATAAAAACTCTAGATATTCGCATTTTAAAATTTGAAGCGGGGTTCAAAATGGCGTCTGTCTCCGTAAACACCGACGAACTGGTCAGAGTTTACGGAGACAGCCGAGCGTCTTGTTGAACGAAGCCACTGTAAGGATCAATGAAATTTAGAGGAATTGATGGATCTGGCAGATTTTGGAAATAGATGATCTATCTTTGAAAACATAAATACTCTACCTCCAAATGCAATAAAATTAGTAATTTGTACTGTACATACAATTATATATATGATGATGAAAACCATTCAATAGAACATACATTTCATAGAAAAGGCGCGAAGATTTACATGTACTCGTGATGTTTGGCGCGAAATAATGTATCGTGATCCCCTTTTCATAGTAGACAAATGGTCTAATACAGAAGTGCAGAAAAGGATTACATGGACCGTCCGTATGAAATACATGTATATGGAATTGCATGGAATAAAAAGTTGAATACATAAAGAATAAAGGAAGTCAACAGTATCATCAGTTCATCAGTAATAGATTATTCTGCTAACAGTTATTGTTTAAACTTAATAACGAATTCCAATGTGAATCTGCTTGCACAAAATTTGGCTAGCTAGCTCTCATTCTATAATTCCGCACTATATAAGGAAACTTATAACCTCCCTGACGCTTGTTACTTCAGTCAATGATACAAAGTAAAAATCGATGATGGATGGTAAAATTGCGATGATGTAGTGGTTTCCATAATGAATTTTCACGCAGGCGATCTGGCCCCGAGTTCATGAAACATCTTAAGCTTAAGGTGAAATCTTTATGTTGTACTAAAATATTGTAGTATTAAAGTAGACCAAAACTGAAATATTTTTAATATTGCTTTACATGATCCTGAAGCCTGGGTTTAATCCCATTTATGTCTGAATTTTCTTTCTCATTTTCTAGCTTAAATTTACGTTTTCATCTTTATAAACGATATTTAACGATTTTTTTTCCCTTGTGAATTCTGCGCTATTTTCATTTTTTATACAAATCTTTAAAATCCTTGCATTTTTGAAAGACCCATTTTATATTTTAGGCGTCTTTACTACGAGCATGTATAAAATTATGTAATTTAACATGCAAAGAATATCACATGTAAGGATGATTATTCGGACGGAAGACCTCTCGTTGCTCGCAACAAGTATCTAGTTATCTTTATTATTATTATTATTATTATTTTTTGTTGAATGATGTTTTTATGGTTACTAAAATCAAAATTTCTGTAGAATTCTTATTGAAGGCTACTCCTTCTACAGTTTTAGTCTGATTGCAAAAAATCTTTCAACAAAAAGAGACTAAACGAAGGATTTTTATTTTATTTATTGCTGTTGCAATGTTTCAAGTTCAAGTGCTACTTTTATCTTCCTTAGTTATAAGTACAAACCAACAGAGCTACAGTCTCGTCTAAGACTTCTGGTTTTTTATTGGACTCGTCCACTTATGGGGTAACTGGGAAACAAAATAGTAAGAATAGTTAGCAAATCTATTGCTTTAGTGTTGTCTGCCCATAGAAATAGCGTTGCTTTATTCGATAATAATGTATATTCAGAATCTTTTGATGTATATTCAAAATCCTCTGATGTATATTCAAAATCCTCTGATGTATATTCAAAATCTTGTGATGTATGTTCAAAATCTTGTGATGTATATATTTAAAATCTTGTGATGGATATTCTATAATCTTGTAATGTATATTCAATAACCTTGTGATGTATGTTCAATATATTGTGATATATGTTCAAAATCTTCAGATGTATATTCTGTTATCTTGTGATATATATTAAATAATCTTGTGATGTATATTCAATATCTTGTGATGTATATTCAATATCTTGTGATGTAATATCAAATAATCTTGTGATGCATACTCTATAATCTTGTGATGCTAAAATTGCATTGTGGGTAATATTCGACACAATTTCGATAGGCTTTTAAGAGCTTTTTTTCATTGGTCTCCAAAGTGAAAGTTGGTACCTATTGTCAACAACCGCTTTGAACGTTGAGTCAGGATAAAGGAGATTCGAGGAACTGTTGTTTTTTTTTTTTACACTAATATAGCCGATATCAGAATATTTTGCGCAAATCTTAGAATCCTGTTACCAGTTAACGTCCTAAGTTTTTTTTTACAGGAAACAAATACCCTGCATATCGTCGTCCACGCGTCGATGAGAAGTAAGTCATACAGAGTCGCGGTAGGTAGGTAGGTGTGATTCATGATCAGTGCACTTCAACAAGGAATCATCATGTTGATAAACATTTTTTTTATGAGAAAATGATATGTAAACGTACATATTATCGCATTATAGATTTTTCCTTTTCAATTGCAAATTGACTTTTCCATGACTTTGTTTCTTCTTTACCTTCATTTGACCGGGTAGGGTTCAAGCAGATATTACGTTCAAATTTTAACTATGATTTAGAGTGTATACTTCTTATCTCAGACAACTCTAGAAAATTGTTATGCAGTGTGACTGCCCATCGGGTAACTTCATATTACAGCATTTTACTGTGCCTCTGTTGTATGGGTAATTATAAATGCATGAAGATTTACATGCACAGTACTAATAATTTAAATAAACATCCACTTCTATTGTAAAGTGACATTAATTTGAAAACTTTTTTCTCTCAGTTTAGAGATTAGAATAGAGAAATGTATACAATAACAGTATCAGTTTGTCCTTGCATATTCTTTACTAATTTGTTTTCATTAAATCAAATCGGTTTTTATTTTCATTTTCAGATAAATATGCATGCTGCGTTTTTAAAACAGATGAAAAGTGTGGGTGACTTAAAAATATGAAGACAGCAATAAAAAACGAACACAAATCCGTGGATGCATGAGTAAAATTGTAGATTTATGAACAAAACTTTCTATTTTCAATCAGTCGTCAACAAACCCACACATTATCCTTGCTGATTTTCTCACGTCTGCAAAGCAGAGCGACACTTAGGAATCACTTTACCCGGCGCCTGTCTGTCACACCTTGGATTTGATATATTACACATATATACAGGGCATTATGAATTTTGAAAATAAAAAATGGCTACGGACTTTGAAACCATTGAACGTGAACTTTGGCTAATTTATTTTTAAATCAATACATATAAATTAGTAAATTTTGCAAATAAACTTCGAGACGGGTGCAACAGAGTTCTTACTTACTCCTCTAAGAATACACTAGATACAAGATGATGTCCGTAAACTATATTTAGATTTCACTCGCATAGTAAGTATCGTACGTTAAATTAAAAGTCTACTTTCATTTGCTATAAACAGCCATGAAATCGCAAAAACTGAGTACGGTGGCGTTTCAGGTTGGCAGATCTAAGTTACTGACAATTTGTAATGAAACTGACAACAAGCAATCGTTTATCTATTTTATAAAACGTCATCACTGAATTATTCAATCAAAACTTGATTTAAATAGTATTAAAGAAAAAAATGGTTGTTACCTTCTTATTCAGCTTGGACCAGTATATTATTAATCGTGTAATCTATCTTATTCCTGTTTCGCTTCAGAATTATTAAAGACAGAAGCATAGACGGTTTTCATATTTCCCCTTGATTGCTTAATGTAGGATTTCAAAGTCCAACTGATATTTTTAATCTACGGTATTCTGATAAAGTTTCACTGTCTCTTTTATATTTCGCCCATCATTTTTTGTAATTAAAAGGTTTGGAAGCAATAGTGGATATACATCTGAAAGAAATACAAGGTGTGGATTTCAGCTTGAAAGATGGTGGAACACAAGATTGGACCCTTTTGCAATTAAGAATATTACTGATATTTTCTGTGTCACTTTTGTTGGCAAATTGAAGTTCAAGGAACAAACGGAGTGTTTGAGCAGTATTCGCTTCCGTAAAACGTGGCAGCTTAGAAAAACTACGATTTGCAATATCCATAATCACAGATCCAAGCCTGTATTCTGGTGTTGAAGAATCCAAATATAGACTTTCCTTGACCTTTTCAAATAGACTATTCAAAACTTTCAAAGGGGACAGAGTAAAGTTTGATACGAATTAGATAAAGACCTAACTGTTTATTTACATAAGGCAGTAGTGAATCAAAAGAGATGACTACGCTTCCATCTCTGTGTATTGTTAAAAAGCCTGATCACATTCACATTGCTACACTGTGGACTTGAATGATTCCCAACACTATCGATATTGTCATTCCTACCATATGGAAAGTGCCTATAGCTCCCTAATCCAGGATTCTTCTCATTTTCTACGGAACGGTGTTCTCGATGATGGACTATTTGTATGATGTATATATTTTCTAGAATTCTACATGTAACTTTCATTGACAAAATAGAATGATCAGGTAAATTAAAGTGCTTGTAGAGAAGCTGTTGGTCCTTGTTGTTAATTTGAAATTCATGCACCGATATTTTTTTTATTAAGTGAACCCTTCGTATCTCCAACATAAATAAGCCAACAAATTAAAAATTCTTTTCCCCATAGAAAAGCATAGAAGATTTTCAGATTTTCCCAAGTCTTGATATAGAAGCTTTGTCCATCAAGATTACTAAAAAAAGGAACAGCTTGTAATCAAAACATCACAGGTTTTATAGTTTTGGCAGAACATGGGAAAGTAGATGACATGGCATCGGAAAATGATTCTTCAAATACATCTCTAATAGAAATTTTATATTCCTTCACATTTTTGTAGAGGCTGTTGATCTTATGTCAAAATTGGGAATCTGAAGACTGCATATATGACATATTTTTGATATCCCGGTGGACTATCCGACTGACTCAAATTAAACTCCTTTGAGTCTGTTTCCTTTATAGTCTCAAAGGAATAATGCCATTTTATACTGGGTGACGTGTTTGCCAGTATCATTTTCGTTATACTTTGTACTTGATACATGTTCGTTTAAAATGAAATATGAAGATAACGAACAGTAATCCAAATTTCATTGAAACCATATAAATTTGGAGCAGAGCAAACATAGACCTCTAAAACATCAGAGGTGGGATCAGGTGCCATGGAGTAAGCATGTTGACCGGTCGCACCAGCCGTTTGCTCCGTGTCATGATCGGGAAAACAGAATAATCCGTAGACAATTCAGTAAAAATAATGGCCGAACAATTTGTATGAAAAACTTTAGTCAACATTAGCCTTGAGGTACATTGTATTTGCTGACAAGGTCATTGTATCTATCATAGAAACTGCAAATGTTGACTTTAAATGAGACTGTTGAAATTCTTATTTTACCAACTTTTTGAAAAAGCAGTTGTCTAGATTTTAAAAAGCCTTGATTTTCATTTATTGTTGGGAATGGTTGTATAGTGTTAAAAAGTCGTACGTTTTGATGCTATTGATTTTGGTAAAATTTTGTGATTTTAAATGTTCAGTTTCAGTGCTATTGGAGGCTCGTTATTAAATGTGATTCGTAACCCATAACTTAAAAAAATTTAAAAATAAAAGGAAAAAATGTACAAGTACATTTAAAACCAACTTTCTATTCGCATGCGGGAAAAGTGTTTCAACTTTTTTAACCTTCTGTCGCTAACCTTTATCTATTTTGTATTCATGAAAAGTTTCCTTAGTCGCGACAATCAATTTCCATTAAAAGACTACAACAAATGTCGATTTAGAAGAGTTAGTGCCTATTAAAATTGTATGTATTAGAAACATTGAGAATGAGATAAAGCTTCTTCTGGAAATTATTTAGTGGTAAAAATTGTCAATTTCCTTTAACTGAACTCTCTGAAGATGTGATTTGTGAGCATGTCTTAAATTGATTGTTATAAGCAGAAAGGTATTCATAATTAGTCGAAACATAAAGGCATTTGATAACACCAGAACAGAAGCGTAATATTTTTCTCATTGACTTGAATTATTAAGAGCCGTAACATAATTTATCTAGCTTTATTTGCAGTGATTGACCGGATTTTCAGGCTTACTTTGTCTTGAAAGAGGAATTCATTTCAAAACAGTGAATACTTAAAAGAAAGGCTTTAAAAATTCTATCACAGAAGTGTTTTTCCTTTCGAAAATGCTAGACATAACAAACAGAAATCTGTTTGTCTTTGCTGTGGTTATTGGCTATTGTAATGCTAATCTTATTCAAGAACATTTCATAAAATGGCCCAATTTGTATAAAGTTTTGAAAATGGTTTCTTTCATGGAAGACTATGCCAGTGGTAGAATATCATGTGCAACTAAATGTTCAGAAAAGCGGAAAAAGTGCCTTTCATTCGCTTGGAATAAGCAAACGCTTCAATGTTTGTTATATAACAGAACATTGAAAAACATCTCAACTTATGCACAAAACAACAAAGAGTGGGAATATTATAACGTCAGAGGTATGTAGAAAATTATCCTCATACATCCTTCTATGTATTTTTTTTTTTTTTCATTTTCTCTCATTTTTGCAAATCATTAGCGATCGAATTGACATTTTTCAGAATGTTCTGAAGAACTAGAAAATGGAACGATCAATGTGAATATAAATAAAGCGTTCACGCCTTGGGAATACTTAAGTGGAAGTTGCAATGAGGGATTTATTGCAGTATCTGGACAACTCAACATAACATGCAACGCTGCTTACCAAACTAGGGTATCCGATACATGCCGTAAAGGTAACTAAACGTTAAAGTTACTTATTTGCAATGGAAAAGATGATTTAACATATAACATGTACCTGACTGTTTTTTCGAATCTATCTTTTGTGAACTGTCACTTGCTTTTTAAGTATTAAGTTATTGTCATTGGAGGTACATTGTAAAAAATGAAAAACCCTGAATTATTTTATTTCTATATATTTAGTCCTAAAAGCTATCGCAGTCGGCAAGCCGACCGAACAATCATCAACCTATCTGTGGTATGATTCTGGTTTAGCCGTTGATGGAAATAGAAGTTCGAACATTAACGATAACTCCTGTAGCCATACAGATTTATCTGATAACAAACCGTGGTGGAGGGTTGATCTTCTGAAGGTTTATTACATCATATCTGTTAAGATGGTCAACCGCGGGATGGATCAGTACGGATATGGTACGCATTAGTTTGTTATAATTAATTTTATAATGCTCAAAAGTTATCAATGTATTTATACAACTTTCTATTCAAAGAACCAGATCAACTCTCAGAATATAGAATAAAAAGTGTTGATTTTCTGCATCCACAATATATTCTTGGAATTTGCTTGTGTATTTCTTTTGAAAATTGCTCATTAATTTAGTATTATTTCGTTGTTAAATTATGTACTTATTAAGACATTCAAATGCTAGAATTTTCAAGGTTTTCAAATCTTTTTCTGCAGATGTGTCTGATCGCCTTCGTAACGTTACCATAACAACCGGTGAAAACGTTTCAAATATCTCAACACTGTGTGGTCTCTATGATGGTCCAGGGTCCATTGGTGAGCTGGTCGCTATTGACTGCCCGCCCTCTACCACTGGACGCTACGTCAAAATCTCCTTGGTCACCGCTGCATTGACTCTTTGTGAAGTTGACGTATTTGCTGTTCCAGTATAAAAAAAAGATTGGCTGGATGAATGCTTTGAATTACACAATAAAAAAAGATCTTCTTGGATTTATTCTAAAAGTCAGTAGATATGTAGTCTCACCAATAAAATCATGTTGTCTATTTGATCTTTGTTTCAGTAATAGACTAAGAAAAGGAGAAAATATTTCTATTACCATTCATGTTTTGTATTTATCAATTTGCAATACATATACATGTATTTACATTTGCAAATTTTCGTAAGTGATGAAACTATTGAAAGCAAACATGTTCATTTCTGTGTGGCCAGCAGGCTTGGGGTAATGCTAAATGTAATGGTAATGCATTTCAATGCATTTCGCATGAAACCTTACCAATATTTTTACATTGTGTACATAAGAGCGAAAAATATTCATAAATTAATGTTTACCACACGATTCTAGCAGCATTTTCCAAGTACTGTAGACTACAAGCTTTTGATAGAAACAAAAACTATGTTTCAAAGAATGCGGCTTAGTGTTGAACTTTTGCATCTTTTACGTTACGACTGACAGATGAAAGGCTGATCGGGATTTCATAACATTGCCCCTTTTCATTATAGACCAAAAATATGAAGATAAAACAGTATACCTTGTCCTTTATCTTTAATAAATCATGAATCACACATGATATTTACGGTATATGCATTTAAACTCCCATTTCATATGTATTTGTTTACATGAATTCTCGTTGTTTTATTTTCACTGGGCAAATATTTCATCAATAGTCACGGGTTTGTACGGAAGCCCGTTGAGGCCAATTCAGAGAGATTGATTGATTGTATATTGTTTTACGTCCCATTTGAGAATTTTTCACTCATACAGAGACGTCACCATATACCGGTGAAGGGCTTCAAATTTTGACCTTTACTCGGCACTCAGGGCCATTGAGCAGTGAGGGATCTTTATCGTGCCATACCCGTGACACGGGGCCTCGGTTTTTAAGGTCTCATCCGAAGGACCCGCAACTTTCACTTCAAAGTGCCGAGCGCATGGCGAAGGAACAGTTGCTACCTATTTTTTATCGACTTAGGTCTGTCGCGGCCGAGATTCGAACTCACGACCTCCCGATCACGGAGCGAGCGCTCTACCGACTGAGCTACCGTGAACGGTCCAATTCAGAGAGAGAAATATTTTTTATTGCGTTTAAACGCAAAAACTATTGCGTTAATCGCAAAACATTGCGTTTAATCGCAATAATCATTGCGTTTAAACGCAAAAGATTGCGTTTAATCGCAATGTATATTGCGTTTAAACGCAAAACACTTTGCGTTTAATCGCAAAAGATTGCGATTAAACGCAATCTTTTGCGTTTAAACGCAATACTTTTGAGATTAAACGCAATAATTTTTGCGTTTAATCGCAATGATATTTTTGCGTTTAAACGCAATAATTTTTGCGTTTAAACGCAATACTTTCGCGATTAAACGCAATACTTTTGCGATTAAACGCAATAGTTTTAATTTGCGTTTAATCGCAATAATTTTTGCGTTTAAACGCAATACTTTTGCGTTTAAACGCAATACTTTTTGCGTTTAAACGCAATAATCTTTGAGTTCAATGGCAATAATCTTTGTGTTCAAAGGCAGTCATTTGTATCAAACCTTGCAGAGAACAATGGACCCACGCATACTTATATCTTTTATTTCTTTCTCTTTTTACTTATTAGGAAATTGTGTGTTGTCTTTATAGAATCAGATTTCTCCGAGCAAACACTCTCTGAAAGGTAAATCACTGATAAGAATTTATAGAGGAGAAAAAAAATGTCGGGTTGTAAAAACAAAGGAATCCTAAGAACGAGACATGTCTTAAGCTTATTCTCTACATTTTTAATGAAGTTTCGGTCAGTTGTTCTGCTAAAAAAAACTGTCCCATACGTTGCAATCACAAGTTTAAATCATGTATAAAGGGGTTTTTGGAAAGGACTGAGGAAATGTTGGAATTACGTACAACATGATGAAGTATTTAGACTTCAATGTACATTCATAACCCTTCCTATGGTTGCATACAGTAAACACAAGAACATATGTGATGGATTTATATGAGGTCAAAATCAAAATCAAATGAAAACAGATTGATCGATGTGTACTACATGTATCAAATTGACAAGTACTATTAATACCACTGAAACTTTCTCTATAAGTTGTGATACACGTAAGCAATTGATCAGTGACTTCATTAAAAGTTTTGGGTTCTAATACATTTAAGACATTCAGGTTGTTAGGATGCCATTGTTTTATTACAATTTTCAAAAACTGGAAAATTTTGCAAAAAGACACAGAACAAATCGGATCTTCTTAAAGTTGAAGTGTCGGGTCCTAGTACATGTAATTATAAGCTTTGACTAATTCATGTTTGATTTTGAAACTACAGTATCATTGTGTTTAAATGCAAAACAAATCCTTATAAGGAAGGATTATTGCGTTTAAACGCAAAGATTATTGCGTTTAATCGCAATACTATTGCGTTTAATCGCAAAAATTATTGCAATTAAACGCAAAAATTATTGCGTTTAAACGCAAAAAATATTGCGTTTAACATATAACATGTACCTGACTGTTTTGTTTCGAATCTATCTTTTGTGAACTGTCACTTGCTTTTTAAGTATTAAGTTATTGTCATTGGAGGTACATTGTACAAAATGAAAAACCCTGAATTATTTTATTTCTATATATTTAGTCCTAAAAGCTATCGCAGTCGGCAAGCCGACCGAACAATCATCAACCTATCTGTGGTATGATTCTGGTTTAGCCGTTGATGGAAATAGAAGTTCGAACATTAACGATAACTCCTGTAGCCATACAGATTTATCTGATAACAAACCGTGGTGGAGGGTTGATCTTCTGAAGGTTTATTACATCATATCTGTTAAGATGGTCAACCGCGGGATGGATCAGTACGGATATGGTACGCATTAGTTTGTTATAATTAATTATAATAATATTGCGTTTAAACGCAAAAATATTATTGCGTTTAAACGCAAAAAGTATTGCATTTAATCGCAAAAGTATTGCGTTTAAACGCAAAAGATTACGTTTAATCGCAATCTTTTGCGATTAAACGCAAAGTGTTTTGCGTTTAAACGCAATATACATTGCGATTAATCGCAATCTTTTGCGTTTAAACGCAATAATTATTGCGATTAAACGCAATGTTTTGCGTTTAAACGCAATAATTATTGCGTTTAAACGCAATAAAAAATATTTCTTTCTCTGAACTGGCCTCAACGGGCTTCCGTAGGTTTGGTATTTAACCATCGTTATAAATACATAGCTATTTATACCATCCAAAAACGACAAGATTTCATTTAGATTATATTTTTGTATCTGCTTTTTTATTCATTTCTAGGACCTGAAATATTTTTTAAATATCAATTGTTAAGAAATTGTGTTATCTCTAAAGGTCATATGATATAACTTACTATGACGTCATATTGTATAGGCAAGTAGAATACCTTCGTGTAACCTTAACATACCCGCGCACACAATTATAGATGTTCTATTTATCTAATACGATTTCTGTTTTTGAGATAATATCTGTGAAACTACGAATGATTTCAACCCAAATAGACGACGTGTAATATGATGACGTCACACGTTAACATGCCGAAACAAAGTTATTTCTAGATCATGAATGCATAAGAATATGAAATCTTGGAATCTTTCAAAACCATATATGACAATCTGTTGGAGATTTCGCGGGTATGTTAAGGCTGCACTCAGATATTCTATTTGTCTATACAGTATGACGTCATAGTAAGCTGTATGACGTGAACTTTAGAGATAATGATTTCTTAATATCTATATTTAAAGTTAGTTTCAGGTCCAAGAAGTGGATGCAATCATTCAAAAACATAATATAAACTAAATCTTGTCATTTTTGGGTGGTATAAATAGCTTAGTATTTATCACGGGGGTTAAATACCAAATCCATGACGTCATAACTATTGATCAAATATACGCCGAGTGAAAATTGAACGTGACTTGAATTCATGTAAACAAATATATGAAATGGGAGTTTTAAAGCATATACCGTGAATGTCATGTGTGATTCATAAGGAATTAAAGATTAAGAATCAGGTACGCTGATTTATACTTATCATGTTTTCTTATAATGAACACAGGCAAGTGTTTTGAAATCCCGATCAGCCTTTCCTCTGTCGTTATATAACAACAAAGATGTAAAAGTTCAACACTACGCCGCATACTTTCAAACATAATTCTTGTTTGTATCGAAAGCTTGTATTCTGTAGTACTTGGAAAGTGCTGCTAGAATCGTCTGGTTAGCATGAATTGATGACAATTCCTTGACCATATGTACAAAATGTGAAAATTTTGGTAAGGTTTCATGCGAAACTTTGGAATACTTTTTTTCGGTAGAGTAGGATTCTAGCAGCACTTTTCATGGCCCAGTGATGTTTTAACATAATTATTTTCACAAAAAAAAAAAAAATAAATAAATAAATAAATAAATTATCCCCGGAGTAGTGTTGAACCTTTCACTTTTTCGTTAAGGCAATTTTTCTATTTATAGACGTCACGTGATGACGTCGTAGTGGAGTGCTTCATTTAACCTAAGACTCAATGACGTCTATACAATGGATAATAATAGTAAATGTTCTATCTATGGCTTTTCCGATTTATATATGTTACATTTTACGAAAAAAGTCCAAATTCGCCGAAGAATGATCTGGGTACTGCCTTAATATACCTGCGTTATTTTATAAAACTTTTGACTGGAAATTGTACAGAGTTGTACATTAGGACCAATGAATCATGAATCGTCCTCTGAAATCATTCTGTGTACGGCAGTGCTAAACTACTTGTAGACTACTGATACGTTATATAGATAGTATATCTCAAGAAAGCATTGTTGAATGTAGCTAGACTTTCCTGCATGGTCAAATTAATATTTCATATTCCATCTCCAACTTATCTGCTGGGTGTAACGTGTGTGTGGAAGGGCCGGGGGGGATGATTTCCACTTATATGATT